CCCCCCATTCGCCCCCGTGCCCAAGTTTCCTATAAATAATAGATCCACACCGGGACCAGCCGCTAAAACGCCAGCCCCCGGAGGCCAGGCGCGCCGCAGTGCTCGGCCAGGCCCTGCGCGCGCGGGGCTTGCGCACTCGGCTGAGCACAGTGCACCAGCCTGCGGCCGCTCCCAGGGGAGGCGGAGTCCGTCTGCGCCCCGGCCCAGCCCGGGGTGCGCAGAGGGGGTGCTCGCCTGCAAACCTTCGAGGGGCTCCCGGCTGTGCCGCAGGCTGCGAGACCTCGGGCTAGAGTTCTGCCGCCAGCCGTGCGCGGTGGAAGCCAAGTGACGGCCGGCTGGCACACTAGCGCGCGGGGAGCTTCCCTACCTTTGTCGCCCAGGATGCCATCGATGCTGTGCTTGGCTTTCTTCTCGCCGTCCTCCTCCTTCTTGTCGGCTTCATCCTCTTCCTCTTTCTTCCCGAACTTGATTCTGAGCACGCGGCTAATCGAACTCACTAAACCTCAGAAATTGAAAGGCAAAAGAGCAAGTATAAGTTGTTGGGGCAGCGGAGCCGGTGCGACCTGGGGCCCTGGGAGAAAGCCACGCAGGTCCTCCCCGCCCCCAACACACTGCAACTGGGATGCACACCCTCTGTCCCCTCCCCATTTAAGCTCTCCCCCTAAGGACAGCCACTCACTAGGGAAGCTGACTCACCTGGGGCACTCTCACCCTGGCGTTCCTATACCCATCCTCGCACACACTTGTGCCTTGCACCGCACGTCCCTAGATGCACTCACGCCCACACCCACTTTGCCGGGACCTTCCCAGAGGCCGTCCAGCCCCTGGGGGTGGCTCTCCACACTCAGGTGTGCGTCCCAGCCCTGCGTGCCTGGCTGCCCCCTCCACGTGCACACGCACACCCAAGGCCGCTTTCTGTCTCACAGGCAGTATGATGGAGGGCTCCCCCCCCCCATTTGGGACCCATTGCTGGCTGGTGGCATGAACAAAACAGAAATAGTGACTTGGAGCAAGGGGTCCAGGGAGATGCACCCTCTAGGATGGACCCATCTCGCTAAGCCACCTGCCCAGAAAGCTCCTGTTATCACCCAGCTTTCTGGGGCAACTTTTTGCCCTTTCCGTCCCTCCTTCCGTCCCTCCATCCCTCCTGCTCTCCCCCTTCCTCTTCTCTCTGAACTTTCTCTCTTTTCCTTCCTCCTTCCCTCGCTCCATCTTCCTTTCGGTTTTGAGCCCCTCCTTGGGCCCCAACTCTCTTCGCATTCCTGCTCCAACTTTCCTTCCAGCTCCCCTTCATCCGTCACCTCCAGCTCTCTTCCATCTCCAGAACCCCCCCGCTCCCCCCCACCCCCCCCACCAGACCCAAGAGCCCCGGAGCCTGAGCCAGACTCCGCCGGCTCAGCTGCCTTCTCACCTGAGGGCACGGTGCTGCGGTCACAGTGCCCGTCCTTCAGCAGCCGGTCTCTGATCTCCCAGCTGAACATGCCTGGGTTTTCTCTCTTGTACTCCTCGATCTTTTTCTCCACATCCGGAGTCGCTACCTGCTTCAGAGGTGGAGGTGGGGGAGATGGGGGTGGGGGAGATACTTTTAATATCAACCTCCCAGAGCCCCTGGCCAGACCGGTGGCTCTGGTTCCCATCCACACCCCCCCCCGCCCCCACCACCCTCGCCACCCCCTTCTGAGATTGGCTTTATCCCTTCACAAAACCGGAGTCTCATTCCCAGGAAGGCAAGCTGACTGAGGGCCTAGGAAAGTGACAGGTAATAAAAGAGACACCTCATTAGGACTCTAAGGATCTCCCCTTCCTGATTTCAGGCAAGATAGACAGGAGGTTTTCCCTGGTCTGGGGTGATGACAGGGGATCGGGGCAGATGCAGGGACAGCCCAGGGATGACTCATCGCGGCCTTCAAGTCTTGGGCAACCTGGGGCTTCAGTTATCCCAAGCCACTAGAAATTCAAATACTGAGGGGGGACTTCTGGGGGGCAAGGACACTCTCCTCCTGTACTTGCCAGAGGAAGCATCTAGAGCCCCCAGTGATGCTGGATGGGGCAGGGCATTGAGAGGGGCTGCAGCCAGGATTCCCCAACTGTGGGAAGGCCGACTGTCAGCTCTGCAGCAAAGACACTCACTCTGGGCTTGCTGCCCCCGATGGCCCCAGGCCGGATGGACCCGGTCTCCTGATAGCGGCAGAGAATCTTGGAGACACAGCCGTGGGACACACGCAGCTGGCGGGAGATGACACAGGGCCGGATGCCATGGTGGGCCATCTCCACTATCTTGTGGCGGATGTGGTTGGGCAGGGGTCGTCCGTTGATGAAGACCCCACCAAGCTGGTTGACCCGGCCTTGGCCAAGTGGTGTAGACACTGAAGAAGGGAGGGCAGAGGAGAAAGGAGAGAGGCACAGGGTGAAGATGGGGAAGAGACACTGAACACACCCCCTGGCTCATTTTATTTGAGCCCCAAGACCCCTGACAGAGGTTCTCAGAGTTCCCCCCCCCCCAATTTGGAGCAGGTCAGGCAAAAACCATCATTAAGCTGAGAGAGGGTCTTGCAAAGATGGAGAGAGGAGTCATGGCTGGCTGCTACAGTTCCCCCCCATACCGATGCCGTGTGCCCCCCACCCCACCCCGTTCCCGTCACACTCTGGGAAACAAGGACACACCAGAGATGGATCTGATGCCTCTGAGGACAGGAGGGAGAGGGCAGAGCCAAGAGACTGATGGAGTCTTGGAGTCTCTGTGACCAGTGTCCCCCAGGATGCAGTTTGGGCCACGGGTCTGCCTGCCACCGGCGGGTGAGACGTGGCCCCTCTGGTCAGTTCTATGCCCTAGGTGGTCCAGACTGATCCATTCTGGAGGGAGCCAGAAGGGGCTGCCTAACTGCCAGTATTTACTGCTCTGGCCCGGGCGGGCAGAGCCGTCCAACTTCTAACTGAACAGCGGAGGGACTGGTGACTAGACGCTTGGTCCCTGACCCTGGGGTCACCTGGCCGTGCCCTGAGGGACTCTCCTTGTTTCCAACCCCCCTCAAAGTTCCAATTTCGTTTTGGGGGAGATTTGGGCAGAGGCTCCAAGCTTCCAAATCAAATACCTATCTTCAGAAATCCATGAACTGTGTCCCCGCGGGGGACTCTGAGAGGTTGGGGCAAGGCACCCCCTGCTGCGGGGAGGGGAGCGCTCCTCAAAAGCCTTAACGGCAAAGTCTACACAATTTCCTCACAGACGGTTGGGGGATACCCGGTGCACTAATCCGGCCTCGATCCCCCCAATTTGGGGATTCGGTGGCTGCGGAGATCCGGCAGATTAGACCGATTTCACAGACGCCGGAGCGGAGGGAGCTGCCGGGGATAATTGGAAGGGAGGAGGCGAGAAGAGGCTCGGCTGTTCCCACCGCCTCCTCCCTCGAGCTCCCGGTCCCCCCACCTCTCTTTGTAAAAGTAGGTGTCTGAAGCCACCCCCAGATTTAATCAGAAATCGTGCGTCGCCAAGTCAGAGTCACTTGGTCTCCGTGGCGGGATATGCCATTAGCGCTGGAGAGCTCTCAAGCGCCCAACTTTATATTCAAGAGCCTCTTTAGCGACCGGCGCTCGGCTCTCCTCAGTATTCTCCGTCATGTTGGGCAAATATTGTCCTAATCCGCTGCGCGTCCTCGGCCGCCTGTTTTACTTGCATTCGCTCCAGGAGAGTGTTACGGCAAATCCCGGGGCTTGTGGGCTCTCCCGCCTGCGTGGCTGCTGGCGCGCACTTGATCACGGAGCCACTCTCTCCGCCTCGGTCTAATTCAGGGACCCGCGCCCGGCTGCTGCCGGAGGGACCCCTCCCTCCCCAGATCGCAGGCTGCCTGCCCGTCCACCCCCTCCCTGCCTCCTTCCCCCTTCCTCACGCACAAGGGGGTTCATACAATTACAAGAAGAGTAATTAAATAAATGAAAGCGGCACCTATCCCGGCACCATTTCCTGGATGACACCCTGGGCTACCTGTCCCCCCAACCCAGTGATCCCTCGATCGACAGGTTGAAGGCCTTCCGTTCGTTTAAGGAGAAAACAAAACAAAACGAAAACGCAGGAAAAGGTCTTAGCAGCGCGCTGGCACCCTTTTCTCGAGCCGGGAACCCGTCCTCTCTGCTCACCCGGGTGCTGGAGACTTAGTTAGGGAGGACGCACCCCAGAATCAAACCCTTTCCCCGGCTCTGGATGCCGCTGGGCCCTCTCACCGGCCTGAGGTTCTCTCCCAGGAGAGTTCCAGAGTTCCGAAGCCCGAGTGAAAAGTTTTGGGGGCGGGGGCGGGTGAAATCGTTGCCATCTACTATTTCAGATTAGTTTGTTTCCAGACCAAAGACCGGAGTTTCTGACGGGTGCTCGGGAAGACGCGGAGGGCCTTCCGAGTTCAGACTGACGCACTATCACACGCTGTGGGTTATTTCGAAATAAAAGGGGTTGGAAGACCATCCCGGGCGTGGGGAAGAAACAGACAAACAAAAAAGAACAATTCAAAACCAAGAGTAGGCACCGTTGCAGGGGCGAACGCCCGAGAGCTGAGAAAGTATCGGGGACTGGGGGGGAAGCGTCTGAACACAGGGGACCGAGCTGAAATTCACGAAGACTTGGCATTTCCCAGGGGCCGCAGCGTGCCCGGGGTTCCGCCCCGCGGAGGGAGGCCAGGGCCCGCGCGACCTGGGAAGCCGGGGCCGCCGGTCCCCGAAAGCCACGCAGAAACCGACAAGCGTCGGCCCCGGAAACTTCCGGGGTCCAGCGCCCGGGCTCTGTCCCGGGTGAGAAGGGGACCCCCCCCTCCTCCCGCGCTGCCGCTGCGAGGACCCCGGGTCCCCGGCGCAGGGGAGCAGGCGCCGCGAGCCCGGGCGCCCTTACCTTCCAGAGGAAAGCCGGTGCGGGGGTAGTTCTGCCCGGGCGCCGGGCGCATCATCCTGGGTACGGTGCCGGGAAGGGCCGCCATTCTTGCGCACGCCGGCGACGAATCCAGAGTCGGCAAAAATCGCCTCCCGTCCGCTCCCTGTACCCCCGCTGCGCTCTCTTTCTTTCCCTCTTCTGCCACTTCGCTTTTTTTAACCTCTTCCCCCTCCTCCCCTCTCCGCACACGCTCCCTGCCCCCACCCCCCACCCCCGGCTGCAGCCGTCCGCGTCGCGAGGCTGGGGAGGGGGGCGAGGTGGGGGCGGAGGTTGGGAGGGGGGGCGGCGGCGGCGGCGGAGGGAAGGTGGCGACGAGGAAGTTCAAACAAACAAACACGCCGACCCGCGTCCGCCTGCGCCCGCTCTGCGCGGCCCGAAGTTGTGCGGGCGGATGCGCCGCGCGCGCCGGGGAGGCGAGGCCGGGCGGCCGAGCGCGGGCCCGGGGAGCGGGCGTGGGTGCAGGGGTCCCGGCCTCGGACGCGCCGCGGGGTGCGCGCTCGCGCGCTCCGGGCCGAAGTTTCCGAGCCGAGAGGCTGCCGAGCGGGCTCTCGCTCGTCTTTATTTATATGTTGACTCTGGCGCTCGCCGGCCGCTCGCGCCCGCCCCGCGCCCCCTCCGCGCGTCTGCGGACCACACTCCCGTCCCCCGCGCGCACCGGCTTTCGCACCCGCGCCCCACCCCCACCAGGCCTCGGGGAGGGAAGGAGGTGGCTCTCGAGGTTCGGGGCTTGAGCGGAGGCGACTGGGGGTGACGGGGTTGGGGAGACCAGCGGGGAAAGCGCGGGGGCGAGCGATCCGCTGGGTAAGTTGTGCAAAAGTGCTCAAGCGGAGTACGGGGAGGGGTGGGGTGTGGGGGGGAGAGGCGGCGAACGAGATCTGATAGGTTCGGACTTTTCTTTTATTCATGAGGAGGAAAGGGGGCCAGGGCGGAAGGGAGGCGAGGACCAGTAACGAAAAGAAATCGCCAACGAATATTTTTCCCCCTCTTTTCTAATCCCCTGCTCGACCTCGTTTTTTGGGGGGAGAATTTGAACCGCGCGTTCACACAGAGAGAGCGAGGCCCCGGGGCTGGGGGAGGGGGCAGAAGGGGAGGGGGCCAACTTTGTGCAAGTGTCTTCTTTTGACGAATGGGCCGGGGCGGCCGAGTGCCCAGCCCCCTGGTCGCCCACGGCCCCTCTCGGCGTCCCGGCTGCTTGGGAATGTCTGTCTCGGGGTCAGCGGCTCCTCCGGATTCTCGCCTTTCCCCCGGCCTCCCAGGGTCCGAGCGGGCCGCCCGCGCATCTCCCGCATCTCTCTCCCACGCTCTGGAATCTCCGCCAGGGGGGTCCCCGGGCGAGCGGCCTGGGGTGACTTCAGGGAAGGGCTTATGACTCTCCCTGTGAGAGCCTGTCCGGGCCCCAGGGCCGGTGCCTGCCCGGCCTCCCGCACCCCCAGCGGCTCTGGAACGCGCGGGACGTGCCACATAGTAGGGGCTGTCTCTTCTCCCCCCGACTCCCCCTTCCCTTCGCCCATCTGCAGCCGGGTTGTAACTTGCCTCCTCTTCTGACACCCCGGCCACAACCCGGAACCCCTTTTCCGCAGCCAGTTCCGTGCCCGGAGGCTGACAGCAAGCGTGGTGCCCAGGATCTGGGGGGGTGGGGGAGCGTGTTGGGGTCACCTCGAGCCCATCCATTCTGAGCCCCCCCGAATTTAGAGGGGGAGGTGCCCCAATTAAAGGGCCAGCAGTGGGGGTGGTGATCCCCCCCATCCCCGGCCAGAGTGGCCAGACGCCCCTGCCCCGGGACGCGCGTCCTGGGGGCGAACCGCCCTCCCAGCGGGGCAGGACGCCAAGACAGCGGGTCCTTTGTCTCCCTCGGGAAAGAGTGTCTCCGGCCCAGCGCTGGAGGCGGAATACAATAAAATAAACCCCGCCCTCCAACTCGGCCCCCACCCCGCAGCCCGCCCCCTGCCCGCCCTCTCCCGGTCCGGGGTCAGCCTCGTCTTGGCCTGGGGGGCTCTGTTCGGGCTGGCCCTAATGTGCCCCCTTCCCCCCCCCTTTTCCTCACCTGTGACCTTTACCCTCTCAGCGTGTGACAGACCCCTCCTCCCCTCTCTCCCAGCAGGGGGGGGGGGCTCATCGGGCTCTTGGGGGGAACCTGTTAAACCCACACCCTCCAGCCGCTCCAGAATGGAGGAAGGGGAGGCCAAGTGGCTTTAGAAAGGGGGACGCTAGGTTGCCCTGCCCTGGCCAGGGTACCACGCTGCCTGGGTTATAGGGGCCTGACTAGGTTTTCTGGGCTCCTTTCTTCATTAGAGGTGCTACCCAACTGTTTTCACTGCCCCTGAGGAGAGGGACTGAGAGATGGGGTTTGAAGCCACAGTGTATGCATCTGGGGAAAATGAGTCAGACTTGGGGCCCCTTTACATCGTGTCTTGCTGGAGGGTCTGGCCCGCCTCAACCTGAAGAAGTGGCTATATATTTTATACCTACATGTATGTATGTATGTATGTATGTACAGATATCCACATACAGATACGCACACTATATACACTCATTCACATATACACATATATATATTATGCTATATTGTGCATTCATTCATTCTTTCTTTCATCCGTAGTTTCTGTCCTGGAGAGGAAGGATTTAAGGTACTGATTCTGTGTATCTGTGGGTGGACCGAGGGGTGTGTTTGTGTGTGAATTTAAGCCCCTGCGTGTGTCTAGGTGGAGGTCGGTTTGTGTGTGAGGCTCCTGGAGGCTTGCGGGCAGCCTGAGTATGTGTGTGTTTCTAAGTGAAGATCTGTGTCTGTGTTTGTGTTTTAGAGTCGCTTCCACGCTGCCTCTGCTGCCTCTGAGCGCCTTCCGGAAGGTGTGAATGTGTGTTTTGGTCAGTTCCCTGGGTGAGGAAAGACCTCTGGGACACGCTGGGGTGGGGGCTGGAAGACACAGTCCCCCCTCGCTGACCTTACCGCGTGTGCATCCGCTCAGATCAGGGCCCACCCGCGGCAGCTGGGGACATTGAACTCCGGGTGTCCCATTCGGGGGCCACCTAACCTTTGGCACTGTCCCCACTGTGCCACGCAGAGGACTGAGCTGTGAGCCCAGGCGCAAGGGAGGCCCCGAGCAGGCTCCCCCAAACCCCCACGCTGGCGGCCCCAACCCTGGGTTTTCGCAGCTTGGGGATGGGCTCCCGCGGGGCAGGCGGCGGGGGAGGAAGGGGGGTGTCTGTCGGAATGAGCGTGGCCATTCTCGCTTGTTGGAGACCAATTTCACAAATGATTTTTGCAACAATTAAGAAGTGTGGCGGGGTGAAATGGCAATTTCACATCTAGCGGGGGGAAAGGGGGGTTCACCTGGGAACTGGGGCTGGCAGCTGCAGCTGGAGGTGGGGGGAAAAATCTCTTTCCCTCTCCTCTCAGTTCCTCTGGCTGACCCCCTTGCCCAAATTCACTCCCTGTGCAGACATTAATCACCTCCTAAGACTTCCAACTGCTCGCGCCGCTTCAAGTGCTGAGGGGCTCCCGTCTGCTTTGTGTGGGTCAGGCTGGACTTGGCCTGGAAAGTTCCCATTCAACCCCTCACCCTGATCTCTGTCTCTCTCCCTGCTTCTTTTTCCCTCCCTCTTCTCCCTTGGTCTTGGTCTGCCTGCCTCTCTCTCTGTCTCTTACACACACACACACACACACATACACACACTTTGCTATCTCATGGGTTCCTCCTTCACTTTTTTGTCACTACCCCTTTCCCCCCTTGCCTTTCTGACTTCTCCCCAGCGGGTTTCCTCTCTCAGCCTGTTCATTCTGTCCCTGCCTCCGGCATCTCCATGGTGTCCTCAAGTATGTAGGGGCCTCCATTGTCCACCAGGCTATCACTCAGACCTGAATCCCTGGGAGAGCCCTTTGGTCCAGGTGGGGTTGGGCAAAGACCTTCCAGAAGGGTCTCTCCTCTGCTTTGCATCTACCTTGGGCTCTGGAAGGGGGCATCTCCAGGCTCAGCCCAGCCTGATTCCAGCACCCTTTCCTTCTAGAAATTCCTTGTGTCTTGGTGCTGTGTGGCTTGGGTAACGTCCCCTATCTCCACCTCCTCCCCGTCAGGTCGGAGTCCCTTATCTGCCCCCGCCCCCACCCCCAGCGCCTCCTTTTTAAGGGCAACAACAGTGCGAATAGGAATTCCTCCTCCCAAGTTCCCAAACGAACTCCCCAAATGGGAAAGAGGCCTGAGGACTTGGAACAAGACCTCAGAGCGACATCAGCTGGGGGAAGCTGGCTTTTCTCTGGCCGATTCCACACCAGACTGTGAATTGATGGGTCAGATGCAGGAGAGATTTAGGGCCACAACTGAGGCTTCCTTCCCCTCCCTCTACAGTGGCCAGTGATCCCTTCCCCCCCAGCCCAAGGGAGAGGACACTCTTTTTATTTCAGATCCCAGTGTGATGAGCACTTTCTGAGAGCGATTACCCAATGAATCTTCCTTTAAAGGGTGATAAATCCACCTTGAAAACCAGGGGTTTTGATTTCGGCGGGGCCTTTTGCATTTTCAGAAGCTCTGGCCAAAGACGTCAACAAATGGAATTATTCAGTCTTCAAATGTTTGATAATGAGAGAGGAGGGGGGTGGGCTTGGGGGTGGGGAGAGAAATAGAATATCCATGAACAAAGGACCTTCTGGAGGCTCACTCCGGTTCCGGATGCCGGAATTCCTCAGTGCAGCTTGTGAAGGGGCACCCTTGAAAAAGAACACCTTTCCCCCCACTCCCCCAATCTTCTGCTATTATTTTTCTCGTAAGAAGTAGCACTCTTAGAAGAGCGACCTTGAAATAGCTGCTCAAACCCAAATAGGAAGGAGAGGGAAAGTAGGAAATTTTCTTGCTTGACATTTTCCTTTTTCCCAGAAAAACAAAATAATACAATTGGATTCCAGTTCGCAAGGTAAATAACACCAATAATAGTAACAGTCAGACTTCTCGCAGGCAGATGGCTGCATAGGATCTCAGTGAGCCCCTTCCTGCCCTTTTTCCTCGCCTTCCTCCACCCTCCTCCCCTCCCCTCTCCACCTCCTCTCTTTGCCTC